AAAAAAAAGATGAGAAATATGAGGAACAAAAGGACCAATTTTTACTCCAGAAAAGCTAGAGTTCAAACTGGCTTGATTAAGAAGGGTAGAAAATGCTTCTGATAAAATAATAAAAAGGTAAGGAGAAAGAGGATCCCCTTGCCTTAACCCTCTAGAAGGTTTCACAAAACCCAAAGGCTGACCATTAATATTAAAAGAAAAGGAAGACAAGCTAATTCAACACAAAACCCAGGAGATGAATTTCTTACAGAAACCTAACCTACCCAAAATAAGAACAAGGAAATCCCATTCCATCCAGTCGTAGGCTTTAGACATGTCAAGTTTAAGGGTCATATAATAGATTTTCCCTTTTTCTTTACTATTCAAAAATGCACACATTCATTGGCGAGGATAACATTATCAATAATTTGTCTACCAGGGACAAAGGCTGTTTGGTTAGGAGAAATACACAGATGAAGCACAGATTTCAGCCTATTAGCCAAAAGCTTAGATATAATTTTATACATAACTGTACATAAACTAATAGGTCTGAAATCTGAAACTTTAAAAAGATTCAGAATCTTTGGGATCAGAGAAATCACAGCATGGTTTAATTTTTTGGGGATACACCCTTTATAAAGGAAATTTTTGCACAGCAGTACAAATGTCAGGCTTAATAATATTCCAGCAAGATTGGAAAAAAAAGGTGGGTCATGCCGTCAATTCTCGGAGCTTTTTGAGGATTCATTTCTATCAGTGCATCTTTTATCTCATTTTCCTCCACAACCTTTGTCAAAATTTGGTTCATTTGTTCAGTGATTACTCTCTGCATACCATCCAGATTGCAGTCCTCCACCTTATGCTCTGATGAAGTGAACATACTCTGAAAAGCTGTCACAATTTTCTCCAAAATCTCTTTCTCATCTTCACACCTAGACCCATTATCTCTGAACAAGTTCTCAATGTTATTTCTTCTCCTTCTCTGAGTAACACAAGCATGAAAATATCTTGTATTTTGATCTCCTTTCTTCAGCCACTGAATTCTTTATTTTTGCCTCCAATATTCTTCTTCTTCTCTGTAAGCTTTTTTCAGTTTCTGCTTAACCTCTATCCACTTATTCCAATCCTTCTTGCTACCAGATTTAACATCACTGCCAATTGTGAATTGTAATTTTCTATGAGCAGTGCAGAATTTGAGATTTTCTTTGTCTTTAATCCCAGGAGGGCCATTCTGGTATTCCTGATTCTGTTCTGAATACTGTACAATGGTGGTCCAGACACTTCCTTCTTCCAGGCTGCTGTGACAATATCCTTGAAGTCTTCTCTTTTTGTCCATCTGGCATCTAAATAGAACCTTTTTTTCCAACACCCTGCTTTTGGCTTTGTATCCATCAACAACAAGCAATGATCAGAAGACATTCTAGGAATATGAGAAACAGTGGACTGAGGAAAATGCATAAGCCACTCAGGAGACAGAAGAAATCTATCTAATCTCTCTTCCACAAAACCCTCCCCTTGTCTATTGTTAGTCCAGGTGTAAGGGTGACCCTTAAAGCTGGGGTCATGAAGATTAAGCCCAGTAATGAAATCCCTAAACCCCTGAAAACTACTCTCAGCTCTAACCTTCCCTCCTCGTTTCTCCCCATTAGAAATAATGTCATTGAAATCTCCCC